TCAGTGCGGCTATCCCTTGAACGTGCCTTGAACATAGCTTTGCCCGCAGATTTAGCACGTGTCGCATGCCAGCATCTCCGAAGCATCCAGATCCCATCGGGTGTTACGCTTCATCGGTATGCGTTGTTCCTCGATGTTGCAATCATGCAGTGGTGGGCGCACAGAGGTGGCCTGTCGGATTCAATATTGTACTTGTGGGCAGACTCGTCTCCTCAAGTAGGCCATGATTGGCTCCTCGCCGACGTGCGCTTCATTTCAAAGAGCCTCATTGTAGACTTGTACAAAGCAGTAGTCAGACTGGAGCGGTGCCGAGGGCGCACCGAGAGGGATGCCGATTTTCTGTCCGATGATCTGAAAGCCGAGCTGGGGATGAATATTGTCCAACACATTCAAGTTCACAGCCTTGCCCCAGGAGGTTTGGGTCTAAAGGCCACGGTGGTTTGTATCCATATGCACCCGTCCTGCTCCCCCGGCGGCTCCTGATTGGCCAAGGGGCTTCGCATTTTCTGGCGACGCCTGCGGTGGACACTGCGCCAGAAAACTGCCGTCGCCCGTTTTATTCCAAGTATCAGTCGCTCGCCCATGCACCTAGCCGCTGGAGGGGGTAGGACAGGTGCATATGAGTACATGTCACCGTTTCCGAAGGCATCTTCCCTGCAACATAAACTGAGCGTGTTGCTGCACATGCTGAAGTTGGAGACGTCGTCCGAAGCACATCTGCGTAGCATAATGGGTGCGTTTCGTTCGGGGGCTTTCGACATGGGCACGGAGCTGGGACTTGCAGAACACCAGAGCTTGGACTTGCAACATGTACTCTTACAAACTTCGAGCCTCGGTGAGCTGGTGGACGATGACGGCTATCCTGATAATGGTTCAGAAACCAGCTCTTTCATGTTCGAGAACATGTTGCCCATTCCTGCGATGGCTCACATTTGCCACAACCTCTCATCAGGCCTCCTGGACAAGATGCCCCACTATTCTGAATGGCTGAAGCAATTGAAACATGTCGCGCGATTCTTAGCAAACGGTGATGCTCGGCGACGGTTTAGTCACTTCTGTCTAGAAGGTGGTCCAGGGGCTCCATTTCAACGTGTATTTAGAAATGGTATTAAACAACATGTGGATTGGCGTTGGGGATTAATCGTTGAGGAGCTGAAGCCTTTACTGGATGATTTCATGATACCTTTGCGAGCTTTCTGGGACCCAGGCAAGTTTCAACAGCATGCGCGCGATGGCCAGAGGGAGCGTACTCGCACAACAGATGCGGATACTGAATTAAACAATAGTATAGCAGCTCTAACTCCGATCATTAAGGGGACGCATTTTTGGATTTGGGGTCATGCTTTGCTAGAAATAGAAGCAATGATTCATGGATTGAGCGACTGGTCCGAGGGGTGCCCATGTCACGAAGCCCTATTCGTTCACAAGACCCGGTGGTTCAATGAGAAGGCCTACAACGAAGAACTTCGAGCTGGCAGCCCCAATGCGCACACTTGCCCCAACAAGGGCAACAGAGCCCCAGAACTTGCGGCCGGACGGGCCAAACTTGTTTTTGATGAGATTGCTGACAAGTCATATAGCAGCATTGTGGTGTTCGCGACCACATTGACAGCGCCCCCTATGGAGATGGAGTCTGTGCTGAAAGAATTCGATTCTATGGCTGCGCCAACTCCGCCACTCTGCGCTCATCTTCCCTACGTGGCTGACATTTGAGGCCCAAAGAGGGCACGCAGGGCACTCCTAGGGCTTGAAGATGGCCCTGAGGGGCCAATGGTGCTCTAAGAGGGCCCCGAGGGGGCTCCAATATCGGGCCCGAGGGCCCCAAGAGGACCCCATTTAGTTCGCCCAGGGGGATCCAACTTGGGGCGCTTTCCTGGGGAAGTTTAGGGCTCTCTGGGGGGCACGGCCTACTCGCTTGAGACCTGTGTCAGAAGGGATGTGCGGGCATTGCACGGGCTCATGCTTGGTCTGTTCTGGAAGTCAAGCTTACGTTTTGGAGAGTGATCCCATGGCGGCTTTGCGCCCTGGCACATAGCGACCCAGCTGTTGTTCGAGAGTGCGCTCGAGATGCTGCGCAGCAGTGGGATCGACGGCCAAACCCTCTACAACACCACCGAGTTAGCGTGCGAGTTAGGTGGGAGTAGGAAAAGACACCGTAATCGAGGGGGGATGGGGGCTGCGTGGAGGGGGAGGAGGATGAAGAGGGAGAGTGCGAGGAGAAGCAGGGAGGTGAGATTTTTGACAAGTCTGGAAAGGAGCCTGAAATAAAATCGTTCCTTCTCCAGGGAACTCGACGGCGTCACCTTGATTTGGTCGCGGAGGGCAGACCCCTGAGAGAGTTCCCCGAGGTCGAATTCGAGGCCGCTTGCTTCAAGTTTGTCAGCGTGGCAGAACGGAGAGTTGAAGCAGGGCACGCTCACATTAAACACAGAGTAGAATCTCGAACTGTTGGTCCCGCTTATGTTAGCAATGCTCGCCGCATGCCGGAGTTCGAGAGCATGCTTAATGAAAGGTGCCAGGGGGCCATTGCATTGGGTTTGAGATTATCACATTGGTGTCGTGTCGATATGTTTTGACGCGGGGGGGAGGGGCGGCTCAAAAATCAGCCCACAACGTGCAGTATAGCTTCATAGTGATAGTGGTTTCTTTCACAGAGAGGTATCCTTGCATCCTGATATTCGATCCACTTGGGCGTCCAAGGTGCTTGCGTCCTCATTGTGCATCCTAACTATAGATGTAAACTATTGGCTACCCGAGGTTCACTATGCTAGAAGAAGTTGCTGGGTACTTGGAGAAGACGCGGAGCCCTTTATCAGTAGCAGTAACCCTTGGCTTTGAAAATCATCCTGCTCTTTTTGGCTTACGAAGCAAGTCTCCAGCGCAGCACTCGACGAAGTTTCATTCAGATGTCGAGAATATTGTTTATCATTGCGATGCTCCGTCGCAGTACATGGCCCAACAAAGAGCAGCTGCAAAACAATCAAATGCAAAACAAATGGATGACAAAGCCCGCGACGCTCTATCCCGCAAGCCAGAGAGAAAGATGACATCGATTGAGTCTGCTCTTCAGAATTTCGCGTTAGATCATTTCCGCCACGTTTCAGACCCGACCAAGATTTATTCATGGTTAGCAGCCGATGCGACGGGGCCTGGTGGTGCAGATATCAAGCTACATACTCTGAGCGACTATTTGATTACCCCTCTTGGAATGGATTGTAAACGGTTTTCTGTCACGGAAGTGGCCGAGCTCGTTTCCTCTGCAAGGCCAGGGGCTGATCTCGACTTGCAAAACGACGACGGGCTGTCAGCCGCTGCCCCCGCTGCGCAAGCCATCGTGCCAGCCGCGGCCCCTCACCAGCGCATGTTCTTCCAAGTGATCGACAAGAAGCCTTCCACGCAGAAGACCATGCGCTTGCCAATCGGTGTTGGGCGGAGGCTCACAGATATAGATGTGGCAATCACGATTCACAAACCTATAAATACCAGCGGGGCGAATATTGCACTTCAGAGCTCTCCACATCAATTGTCGTCGAGTGGGAGCCCGGTGGCTATCCTGGCAGGGTTAGAAGGAAAGCACGCCGACCTGATCAGGCAAGCCAGCGAGTGGAGCGTCAAGCCATCACTGGTGTATGCCATCCGAGGGCATGCTGGCACTGAGGAGCACCTGGACTTAGTCACGAGGATGATCGACAGCAGTGCAATGCCAGGTTCTGAACGAGGTTTAGTTCCAGCACCGCACAGCAATGAACATGGCGTGCTAACGACGCTTGCTGCGAGCGGCTTTGCCGCATGTTCACCCGATGGCTCGTGGTCTCTAACAAAAGAGGCCCTGCATAGGATAGAAGTGCACAGAGAGCTCCATGCATCCCACCCTATCTTCCAGAAGCGCGACGGCATACCTGTCCAAGATTTGACATGTTATGAACTCATGCTGAGCCTTCAAAACGCTGGGTGGGTCCACGCCAATCATCCGAAGCCGCAGACTTTGCTCCATTTGCCGGGTCAAGCATGCAAGACATTCTACACGCCCTTCAAGTCGGCGCAGTACGCGCGCCCATACATGTTGACGCTTGCAGTGGAACATCGGGTCTTTGAGCGTGGATATACGGAGATCAAGCACTGCCAAGGACCATCTTACTACAACGAGATGCTGCACAATGTCGACCCAGCGCTGGCGCCTAAGCCTATGCCTAGACCGCGGGCTGCGCTTCCGCTCTGTGACGAAGACGTGGAGTTATCTTTGGAAGACGGCATTGAGCAAGAAATTCTGGACGCACTACGTGATGGGCTCGAAATCCAGCACGAGGGGCTGCCACCAGCCCCGCCAGTTCCGCTCCCGGGGCCACCAGTTGGCCCCCATGGGCCTCCAGGCCCTGGCGGAGGTGGAGGTGCTATGGGGCCAGCCCTCGCACCTCATGCTCCGCCAAGTGTACAGCGCTGGGGCTGCTTCACGATTCACCCTATTAAGGTAAGTCAAAGCAAACCTTTTGGTGGATGGAGAGCAAGCTGCCCCTTTCACCGCTCCTCTGACGTCACTGGCTGCACGAGGTCCATGACCCTGACCTCAGCCTCCCCTGGGGACGAGGACGCCGTGATGAGGTCCTTGAAGGATTGGTGCAACAAGGCTAAGAATTACAATCGTAAGTGGCTTCATAACGCATATATTGTACCTGTGCCACCACCCAACGAGGCCTTCCTCGCGGAGAATAAGATCACAGATGGCCCCATTGGACCTGTCCGTACAGATGCTGAGCTCGACGACATCGAGTGCGCCACAGGGGGCGAAGCGACGAGGATGAGGGAGGAGGAGTAGGAGCAGGAAGAGGAGGGGGAGGAGGGAGAGGAGCAGGAAGAGGAGGGGGAGGAGGGAGATGCTCATTAACCTCCCCCTATATGAGGTATGCCGCCCACCCTCTCGCTGGGCCAGCAGCTGGGCCGGCCGCCCCAGCCCCTCCGGCCCCGGCCGCCCCTGCTGCGGCAGGGCGAGGGCGGGGGAAGGCCTGGGCCCGGGGAAGGGGCAGGGCACGCGGCCGAGCTGCTGCCCGCGGAAGCAGCTCGTCGGACTAACCCGCCCTACAGACCAAAAAAAACAAACGACCAACGATACACCAACAAACGCACCTTAAATCAACCCAAACCAAAGACACAGCACTCGAACACCGTGAACACCAATCAATACCAAGGCAAATCAACAAAACAAACATGAACACCATCAACAACACTCAAGAACTATCGAAAACCATAACAAACCAACAAAAACCATCAACAACCATCAAACACGACATAAAACCATTGTAAACCATCAAAAACCATCAAAACACATCAAATTCATTAGAAAACCATCACAACGCATCAAGAACCATCAAAAACGCATCAAAACCGTCAAAACGTCACAAATCACATAAAAACGTCAAAAACAGGTTCCGGGCAGTTCCGGGCAGTTCCGGGCAGTTCCGGGCAGTTCCGGGCAGTTCCGGGCAGTTCCGGGCAAACGCCAAACATCGTCAAAAAACATGCACAAACCATCGCAAAACCGATGACATCCTATGCGTTTGGTAGCCTTCTGATGGCTGTTTGGTTGAATGTTAATATTTGTGATGGTTTTGGTTAGTTTATGATGGTTCGTACTGTTTTTGAATGGTTTTGATGTTGTTTGAGCGTTTTTGGATAGATTCGGGTGTTTTTTAATGGTTTTGATGGTTTTGGTTAGCTTTTGATTGTTTCTGTTTGTGTTTGAATGATTTTGATGTTTGGTTATAGTTTTTGATGGCTTCGATTGTTTTTAAAGGGATTTGTTGGTTGTGGGTCGCTGTTGATGGTTTCTGGTTGTGTTTGAGTGGTGTTGATGGTGGTGTTTGATGTATTTCTATGAATTCAATGATGTTGTGGTGTTTCTACATGTGTTTAACGTTAGTAGCGGTGTTGGAATGTTCGTTGGCATCCATCTAATAATTTCTGAACAAGTCTACATTGGTGCTGATGGTTGCTCAACGCTTTCAAATACCACTGACAATAATATTGTGCGTTGTGATTAGCTATTGCAAGTCCCCTCACCTCCTCAGCCTCGTCCATAGCCATTTGGGCTCCAGTGCACATGTCACGTATTTCTGACATGGAGCTGGAACTTGAATGCGATGCGTCCCCTGGTTCCATTGTGCTGGGCGTGGGGGCAGCAACGTCAGTTGGATCTCTGCGGAGCCGCGGAGCTCCGCGCGCACTTGTGGGTGGTCTTTCAAACATGCGGGACCTGTTCGACTGGCCTAGCTGGTGCATCAAAGCATTGAGAGACAACGCCCTTGGCATTGACTTAGGCGATGCGTTCAAGGCTAGTTTGGAAAGAGGAATATCCCTCACCACATGCTTCTCAGGGATGGGCTGCGTCGAGATGGCCTGCTCGTTCATCCAAGAGGCCGCCAGGGGTCTGGGAATCTGCTCGGAGGAAGCGAGCCCCTTTACCTTCGAGTCAGCAACAGACATGGACACAGTGTGCCAAACCGTTCTCAAGAGCCACGCCAATGCCCCAGGCTGCATCTTCAAAGACATACTGCACAGGTACCCTACAGACATCTCCCTGGAACTCAAACAATTGAGCAAGAGAGCAAGTGGGAAATATGATGATATCATGGCAGACGTCAGTACAAATGATTTAGAAAAGAAGGCCTCTGGAAATGCTGTTGCTGCGCAATTCAAATCCCAATGTGCTGAGACCCTTCACAGATATTTTAGGACGTGCCCACGTCCCGAAAATCAAGCAGCGCCGTGCGCGCGACATCCTGCCTTCCGGAGTCGCTGCATGCCCCGGCTCCGCGGGCGAGGCGCGAGTGAGAAGCTGCGTCTACACGTAGCTGGCACGCCTTGCATCGACTGGAGCGCAATGGGTCAACAGTTGGGTTTCAATGGGCCAACGGCCGTGATATTCGAGTGCTGGGTGCACGAACGGCTCTTTGAGGAAGAAGACGTGATCATACATGAGTGTACGCGCAACTTCCCAGTCAGTTGTTTGAGTGAGAGGCTCGGAGAGAAGTACGTCATTCTCAGCCTTCTCATCACGCCGCAAGAATTTGGATGGCCATGCTCAAGGCCCCGGAGATGGACTATCATGGTGAAGAAGTCTGCCTACAAGGTGAATGTCCCCTACACTTTGGATAGTCATGGCATTGCTGGGCTATTTGGGAGAGCGGTGGAGCTGGACGGGAACGCGTTCTTCTGCGCTGGGCACGAGGACCAACAGGAGGTCTTCAGGGCGATGGCGAAGAAGCGGAAGTTCTCGGAGGAAAGCACTTGGGATTGCGACGACGTGTTAGACGTAGGTAGTTGGGCGCGGCTACAGGGGCACATACGCGTTGCCAACGAGATGGGGAAGACTGACAGCGACGTAGTCATTGTGGACTTGAAAGACAACGCTGAGCACATTACGAGATGCATCAGCATAGTACCGACTCTCCTTCGAAAATCTTTAGTGTATTCTCTATCTCTGAAGCGAGTCATGATTCCGCTGGAGCACCTTCTAGTGCAAGGTATTCCTGTGATTGGCGATAATTTTCCGCACCGCTGCCCCTTCATGGATCTTATCAGAGCAAAGGCTCTGTCGCATGATGATGTCAAGTCACTGGCCGGAAATTGCATGCACATCGGCGTTGTGGGCCCCTTGGTCTTATACGTTCTTGCGTGCTTGGAGCCGGCCCGCGGGGGCACGTGCTGATTGATGCGTTTCGTCACTTGCCAGGCAACGCGGTTGCCAGGCCCAGGCGATGCGGTCGCCAGGTCATGATGATCTCATGCTTTACTGAGGCGCGTTGTTATTTCAGATCAAAAACTTCAGGCGTCTGACCCTCGCGCCGAAGTCGCAGATAGCAGCGGCTGCTATCTGCGACCCCGGCGCGCAGGATTGCTGCAATCCCCCACGGGCCGAAATTGCTACAATCCCCTGGGGCCGAGGTTGCTACAATCCCCCGCGGGCCGACATTGCTACAATCCCCTGGGGCCGAGGTTGCTGCTTTATTCCGCGGGCCGACATTGCTACAATCCCCCGCGGGCCGAATTTGCTACAATCCCCTGGGGCCGAAATTGCTACAATCCCCCGCGGGCCTAAATTGCTACAATCCCCCGCGGGCCGAAATTGCTACAATCCCCTGCGGGCTGAAATTGCTACAACCCCCCGCGGGCCGAAATTGCTACAATCCCCTGGGGCCGAGGTTGCTGGCTTCTTCCGCGGGCCGAACTTGCTACACCCCAACATGATTCAAACGCAATAGAAACATGTTAGCGCCTCGGCCTGTTCAGCGACAGGGGTGGCACTACATATGAGGAATGAAACGCGTCTCAAATGCAACCTCCTTGTTGCACCATGCCGAGCACACCAAGCCCCAGGACCCCTTGCCAAAGCAGGGAACAGCAAATGCAACAAGGAGGTTGCATTTGAGTCGCAAAGTATTCCTCATCTGTAGTGCCACCCGTGTGCTGCTGTCGCCTACCCTCTACTCTTCCGTAGCTGTTCTGGCTGAAGGGTCAAGCCTCGTGGATCTGCAACGTTACTTACCTGACATTCAGTTCTCCACTCTGTAAGTGGTCAACTTGGTTGCGCGATGTCCAGCCCCGGTGACCTCGAGTTGGAGTTCGAGTCGCTGCCGTCGGAGGCTACACCGGCGGCGGCGGCGGACATCGACGACATCTTCGATGCGACTTCCCCCTCGGGGAAAAGTGCGTCACAGTCGCCATCGCCGACCCCGACAGCGGCCGCGGCTGCTGCGGCTGCGCCGCCGCCGCCTAAGGCTGACGGCGACAAGAAGTCCACGCTGAGGTTCTGCATCGTTGACAAAAAACCCTTCGACAGCAAGCGCAAGGTGGACATGTGCCCCTGCCACGCGAGGGACTGGGAGGCCCTCCTCGCCCAGGTGGAGGACAAGAAGGAGAAGAAATACGTGATGGCCCTGAAGAAGAAGGCCGCTACAGGCGACAACACGGAACTCATGACCCTCGTTGCCAAGTTCCAGGCAGACGCGCCCTCTTTGGGGCGGGGGCGCGCTCGCGCCCAATTCGACTTCGCTTCGTTCTTCAAGGACACCTACGCAGCCACCGAGACCGTGGACGACGTGGAGAGCGAGATGATGACGTTCCTAGTGTTTGAAGAGCACAGCCGGACAGCGCGAGGCGGCAAGTTGACAGACCCCAAGATCGCGTCCGAGTGGGCCAAACTGACAAAGGCAGCCTGCGAGGACAAGCTACCAGGCGCCAAGTTCGACAACGATGGCCCCGAGGGGGCCCTTCGGATCAAGGTGAAAGTGAAGGACACCGTTCACGACCTGAGCAAGATAGGCGAGCAGGTGACGGTCCGGGAGCGCGAGATTGAACAGAAGAGGCCTTCGAAAAGAATAGTGGACGGCATGAAGCGCTCTGTGACAAACTCGCACTCGTCCTTCGACGAACAGAGGAGTCTCGTAGACGAGGAACTTGTGGCAAACCACAAGAAAGAAGGGGCGTCAAACCAATCTTCGAGCGCACCGCCAGCCCTGGGCATCTTCTCGGCGAGGCCGTCTGCGGGGTCGTCGGTCACAGATATCATTGCCAGCATTCGCCAGGATGCGTCATCATCGGACGCTGATCGCATGTCTGATGTCGCGTCCTCAGCGGGTTCCAGCGGCGGCGGCGACGGCGGCGACTACCGCCCCACGGCCGCTGGCGGTCACAAGAAGCAGAAGAAGTTCGACCGCGACACGCAGATCCTCAACACAGAAGGCAAGCTCCTGAACTACGTCGAGAAAGTGCGGAGGCTAGCGGATGCGACGCTGGACGAGTTGGTGGCCTGCGAGACGAGCATCAAGCAGACAGCCATTCAGAACGACTTGGACTACTACAAGAAACACTTGGACATCTTGCAAGTGCGCAAGGAGGCCCTGGTCGCCTTCCTGCACAGCAAGGCGAGCATGGCCGTAATGCAGGATTTTGGGTGACCCAAAAGGGATTCCAGCTGCAAGGGGGTGGTGCGATAGATTTTGGGCAA